GGGTTTGTTCAAAGCCAGTCAAGAACTGAAAACTAATAGCTTTAAAAAATCTAGGATATTCTTCTAGCCTCAAATAATTCTTTCACATATCTGGCAGTATCTGTAGCAAAGGCAAATAGGGAAGCCATCACGACTTTGAAATGAATGCATCTGAACTGACCTCCTTGAAAAGAAACATGAAATAAATAGGTTATAGTCACTTCTTTGGTAAGAGACAGGCCACCAAGATAAGGAACCCTTTTACAAAGTCACAGACACTTCCAAATAAAGCATACTACGGTGACAGAGAACAAATCAACGAATCCATCATTTCAAAGCCCAGGTCAACGGAAGTGCTCTTAGACTTCCAGTATCTGGAAATATTACTGGAACTGGAGAATGGAGTGATAAATTAATTAATTAATCCAGTATTGCAGAGACTCAGAAGAAGATAGCTATCGGATCTGGAAACTCCCCACTCTCCTCTAGCTCTCGGACTTGAAGGAATGAGGGTGAAACAACGCAGCTCTCCAGAGCCGACAAGACCCAAAGCAATCTGTCTTCCACTGACAGGCATCAGACAGCGTGTATGGGTCCCATCTGCAAACCGTCTAACTTTAGACAAGGTTAACCCTGCCCACACCATTTCATATACAATCAAAGACAAAGATGACACAACTAAGACAGCAGCATTGAGGAGTTCTTCTAAGCTCTTGGAAATTAGCAAGCAAATGGAAACCAGTGCTATAAAAATGTTACAGAGCTATAGAATTAGCTGAACTCTGAAGTAACAACAACGGAGACTTCTCACAAGGACCCCACCACCAGCTTACTGTCTCACAAACACTGGTCTTCTTGCCAAACACCTGCCACTTCCATGGGCATTTCCCTTCCTCGTTCGTCACTTTTTTGGTTATTCCTCACCTTTTTGTCCTGAGAACCTTGCCCCTGCACTCTTACAGTGCACACCTTTGTTCCCTCCACAGGCTATCTGCTTATTTCCTAGCTAAAATATAGTCTGAGGCGATTTCCTCCAACTGCCTGCAGCGAAATGATCCCAGTGCCAGCCCTATTAAGATCAACTATTCTTCTCATTTACTCGAGCCATCCCATTAGTTAACAGTGGTGACTTTGAAAGGAAAGGAGAGTTTTATACCCTGCTCAGCTCTCACTGCAGCAGGCACTTACAAATAACTGAAGCTTTGTTTTCAGAAAAAGCAGCCTTGCTTTAGAGCTGACAGGACGATCCATAAAGTCACATAGCAACCAAAATATTTCCAAGATCAGCCCGCTCAGTGGCTGCCTGCTGTATGGCCACAGGTCTGGTCTCTCCTGGCATATGAAGCAATGTTTGCCTGGGATTCCTGGACAGTAATGCAGGTGGGAGCTCTCAACACAGGAGATCGTCACTGACCACACAGTTATCACGCTGGAAAAGAAAGGCTGACACCCCCAGGTAGGGCAAAGGTGTATGCAAAATAGCCAAGCACTTCACGCTGTAATGCTCAAAAATCAAACTTTACAGTGATCACTTCCCCTCCACCCATCTCCCAACTGCAGTTCACTCACTACAGATATCTGAATATTTTCAGTGGGTTCATGACCAGACTGTGGCCAGCAATATTCTGCTTTCAAAAAAAGCACAGTGCACCTCCTAAGGCAGCAAAAGTAAGGGGCAATTTTTTTTTTCTTAATTCCAAACCACAGAGAGTGCCACTGTCCAGAACCCACTGTCACTGCTGGACCATGTCACCTCCAAGGCACTGATGAGCAGAACCTATTAAGTGGTTCCCTACATCCGAGTGCACCTCTCTCAGTCCACCTCCAACAGAAGAAAGAGAAGCGATTTCTCTCCAGCTACTGAAACAAGGTAGCCCACAAAACATCACGTGTTCTTTTCAGGCTCTCAGCACTGTAATGTCTAAGGTACTATAAATCCCCTGGAATTAAGCAGAATCCAAGAGACTGCTCCAGCTCTTCTCGCAAGATTGGAAATTAATACAGACTAGGCTGACCCTTCCACTCGCTGGGATTTAGGCAGCTTGTCAATATCACAAGCGAGAGAAAGGACAAACACAGGAAAATTGCAATGAAAGATCTGCTTATCTAGCTAAATGCACAAGCCCCACCACTGAGAGCAGAAAGGACAGAATGCAGAATAGCTCCTTAGAATAGCTGTGAAGCAACAGATACTTTTCAAACGCAGCTTGGCAGCACCACCGCTTTCCGAAACAAAGGGGGCTGCAGCCTCACTGACAACTCATGAAAAATGGTGTCTAAAAATGAGTTAATATGAAACGCATCATCACAAAAGGAATATAGAAAACCTGAAACACAGGGCTCAGGTTCCACAGTGAGGGGCATGCTAGCAATTTCTACAGAAGCATTCATTTACAGTGTGTCAAAAGCTAATCCAGGTCAATTCACTACCTAAAAGTCAAGGTTTTGAGAAACGCCTGTTCTTTTCTTGCTAAGCGTGCTTCCTTCCCCAAAGCACAATCAATGCCAATCAAACCCTGCACATGAGCAGAGCTCTAGTGGAGAGATGTAGCCCATACAAATGAAAAATACCTCCAGCCCCCCTAGAAAGGCAGCCCTGACAAAGCCTACAGCATGGCTCTTCCATTAGAGCCTTTCATAAAACACAGCCAGAGTGTGAATATAGAGTGCTGGCTAGAAAGCCCTCCTGAGTCATAAATCACATGGTACATGCGCAGCGTAAGCTGAGTTTATTCATGACGGACAGTATTTCAACAGGGCTTGATAGATGGGTGAGGCAAAGGAGCCAGACTTTATGGGGGACAGAACTAGTTACACAAAAGATTCTTCATTAGTGAGAGAATCTTAAAGATATAAAGCATAGCCAAGCAGAGTCAGACTGAAGAGCTGTCCTGCTCTTCTTTGTCAACGAAGCAGGCACTGTCACCCCTCTGCAGCTGCTGCCGCTTGCTGCCTGCTGGTACCAGGCAAGAAAGGCACAAGAAGTCGGTCCACGCAACACTACACAGAAACTCTACTGACAAGCAGTTCTGCTCTGAATTTACACCAGTGCCATTAGAAGGAAATGTTGGACAGCACTGCAATCAGACTGCTGCAGCTCAAGCGAGGCAATGGAAAAAAAGAGCTCTCATGATCCCCTACAGGGCGGAAGGTTAATTGCTTAGATCTACCTCACTAGGACGGCATCAAACCAACTCCTGACTGTCCCTGCTATCCACGGAAGAATACATGGGAGACAAGCCAGCCCACCCCTATTCAAGAATTGCTCCCAGCTGTAATCTGAGCTACTAAACTCCATTCCTCAAACACCTGTTATTCTTGGACAAGCTCATTTTGTGCCATACGTCAGGAGCACAAAATGAAACGTCGATGCTATGCGGGAAGAGAGGGCAGCAAGCATAGCATGTTACACCGGTAGGGAAATAAGCTGACAATATTGGATGCACCATCACTCAGGGACTGCCACCCGCCAGAGCAAGAACAGTTACAAACATTGCTATAGCAGCATTCTGTCCTAGGAAGTGCTGATGGTGATACCTTATAAGGGAAAGGCCACGTCATTTCCATTCTGAACTTGCTACACGAACCACCACCACAGCATCAGACAGCTGGGTCAGGACACAGCCCTCCCTACACAAACTGAGAGAAGTCAAACACCTCTCTTCTCCCACTGCAAAGCTGCATCACCACAGCCTGCATTCTGCTACTGCTGAACAAGAGTAAAATACCCTGTTATGAGCACTTTGCTACCTCGTTTACATGGACAGAGTGTCGACAGTGCCCTCTCCTGGCACAAAGCGCATGAGAAATGTTACTGGCAAAACCATGAATATGAGATTTCAACAACAGAAGTGGGAACTTTCAGAAACCAACGCTGCCTGGAAAAGATTCAGTTTAATAGTAATAATTTCTCCTTCCCTTCTCTTTCCCACGCGCACAGGAGGGAGGGCCACATGGAACACTAGATGCCTACAAGCAGTTCAAACGAGACCTCCGTATTACTGCTAGTGACCCACACTCAAAATTGGCCACAACTGAAGTTAGCTGTCTGCTAAAAACAGGATTGATCTCACCAAACTGTTTGACAGCACACTGATGACAGGGTGATTACGTGGAAAGGATAAGCTAGCATAATGACAGGAAGTCATGAAAGGTACTTGCACCCTGATTACGGGCTAGATTAGAAAGCTCACTGCTCTATCAACATCTTACTAATTTGTTCCATTTCTTTTTCCGGGTACACCTTTTCAAGTGTTAATTTAACCAATATGACCTAATCAGTGTATTGGTTTATAATATGCTTAAGAAAAAAAGAAAAAAAAAAGTCTACATTATTCACTTCTAACTAATACCTACATATGCAGTTTTTCGTCACTTTGTGGGAAATAAAAGTCACCCTGAATGGCCTGGTATGGTAAGCTGTAATAGCTTTATTTAAAAATACAGCTGTCCTCTCTGCGTACCGTGATCTTCTAGTCTTGTTAAAGAGCCTCTGTCACCAGGGCCTGGAAGACTTAATATACGACGTTTATTATGATTAGAAATCATTTGTACAGCACTGTAAATTCACACAGCACTTTCCCAAGACCATTTATAAATCTAATGGCACTATAAATCCCCGTTAGCTTCCGCACTTTATTCCCCAGAATTCCTATTTATTCAAATGATCTTGTACCCCCCCACTGCAATCTTCTCTTTGAATACATCAAGCCCCAGTCCCACACTGGCCTGCCCATCTCCTAAGTGACAAGCTGGGTGGATTGCTAATAAAGCCCTGGACTTTACATTTCAAAAAAATAAGGTTTTACTATTAGAACCAAATGTCCCTAACAACAGCACAATAATGACACAGATATTTGGCTTTCAACGCACACTGGCAACAATTGCTGCTGTCTGTGTTACTGTTCGCAGCAAACAGCCCCAACGCATATGAGCACTTCTCTTAATTCTTGCGATCTGCATTAAATTGCTCAAGCACGCACGCAACCAGCAGCAGGCCCTCCCCCTGCTACCACACGTACTTGATGCTATCGGTGTGTGTTTTATATTCCATGATGGTGTTGGGAGGTAGGTTGAGCACTCTTCGTAACGTATCGCGTATCCGGGCTGTTGTGGCCTGGTCGCTGGCTGTCTTGTTCCATATAGAGATAATATCCTCCTACAGAACAGCATGTGAGGGGTAAGCAGATGGTACTGTTTGTAGCCCTGCCAAATCGAAATACATGCCAGTTCTCATAAGCGCTTACCTGGAATCGGACAGACACGACTGCCCCACAGATTTCTTCCCCCACCATAAACTGCTCTCCCAGCATTGCCAGAATGAGATTCTCCCAGCATCGTGACGCTAAGCCCTTTCGCAGACGGATAATCCATTTGCCACCATTTTTGTTGGCATCATCCTAGGAAAAGGGGCAAGAAATCGATTTGTTTTCTTCTAGCTATTTTTCTGCTTCCCACAAGACAGCAGAGCCACAGACAGCAGCAGATATTGATTGGGTGGGGCAAGGGACAGAATGGAGGTACTTTCAAGCAAAAGCATTTTGCTTCTCTTCCATACAAACAGAGACAGAGATATACCACTTACTTTGAATACAAAGTATTTGAAACAGTTCGCAGTGATATTTAAAAGCAAGTGAAAAGTTGATAAACGCTTTCCTTCCACATTTCCAGGAATGGGCTCGCAAGTTAACACAGAAAGGACCAGTCTGCTCTCTGTGAAGCACTGACATTATTACACATCATACAGCTGAATGGTCATTCCAGACTGCGGTGACCCAAGGAAATAACGAAAAATGAGGGGAGAGACTAAAGAAAAAATTTATGCTAAGCACCCAGTCCATCACATCAATATTGTGATTCCATATGTTGCACCTGAAAAAGAGCTGAAAACTACTACAGACTCCCCTGCTACACAGAACACACATCTATGTCAAACAGCAGCTCCTCCTCTGTGCAGCACGCTGTGGCATTCCCTTGTACAACACTGTAGCTGGAAAATCTTACAAGGTGAGAGGGGAACAAATTCCATCCAAAGCCAAAGAGAGAGAGGTAAGAATAAGACAAACAGGCGACAATTAGGAAGTGAAAGGGAAGAGAGGTCTAGGACAGATACAGAGAAGAACAAAGGATAACTCAGAGGGGACCGCACAATACATGACATCCCTGGCCAAATCACCAGCAATCACCTCTGCCAAGCTGGACACACCTTAAAGATGCTAGGCAAGGGAGCCCAATCCTTCTTAAGGAAACAAAGTTATTTTAGCCTTAAAGCTTCTTTAGGGCTCAGATAAAACTAAACATTTGTGTGCCTTCAGAGACAGCAAGTGCTAATGAAGCAATCCTGACAAACACGGAAGTGCCAGCCTAACAGCAGCATTCACAAGACTCCCAGCTTTCAGGAATGTGCTAAAGCCTATAATGAAAGCAGAAGGCATCAGCTCCAGACAAAAGTCAAAGCATGAGAGCAGCTACATGCAAGGCAAAGATTCCAAATCAGCACAAGTTCTACGAATGTGGCATACTCCCATGAGATGCAAGCTACTTTCTGATTAAGCATCCTTGATTTCCAAGCTGTGAACATCACACTCTCAGAATTAAAGCCGCCTAGGCTTCAATCTTTAAGCACGGAGTTGGGTTTAACTTTCCACAATGCCTAAGGGGGGTCGGAAGAGAAAGTGGTCTTGCTCATAATATTTACAAGTTGGTTTAAGCAGGTTCAAGGCTACAAGGAGAACAGTGATCAGGAGGCAGATGCTGTGGTATGTGTTTTACGGTTATTGATAGTTTTCTTTCAGGTTAAACAAACTTCAGTTCAGTCAAGCATTTGATTTCCCTTTACCAGAATAATAATGACCAGCACCCAGTAAATCACCAGGGAACATTATGCTTAGCATTTCTGACTTTACACAGAAAAGGTGCAGATGGATCCAGAAAAGGATCAGAGCTACATACATGCATACATGTGCCTATAAGAATGACAGTAACTAGGGATTAGTTTGGAAGAGAGAAGAGCATAAACAAAGCCCTACCAAGCAAGCATCAAAGGGAAGGCCAGCAGCAAGATCCCAGGTCCTCTTCTATAAATAAAAGGGAGTGGGGCCAGAAGTAAAAAAACAGATCTCTCCACCCTCATCTTAAAACTGCTAGACAAATGCTTTATAGAAACTGTGGTATCATTACCTTGTGGACTCTCTGGTTGACACATTATATGAGCAGCTAGCTCACCAGGAGTCCGAAGAGGGTTAAACATTTTATATAAATTGTATTTGCAGTAACTGGCTATAAAACACCTTACTTAAAATAATTGCCAACTAGGGTCACATATAAATTTCTCAGGACCAAGCAGCATAATTAGGTACTTCAGAGCAACACATAAAAATCCTCATATTGCAAATGGTATTGGTCATTGCTGGAAGCAGGCCAGGAACTGGAAGAATCATTTACTGGGCAAAGATTTTTTTTTGTTCTTTTTAATAGATTTGGATAGGAATGAACAGAAGCAAACTAAGTGCCCTGAAACATAAAAAAGCAAAGGAAGGGCTAAGTCTTCCTTCCATCTCCAGCTCTACATACAGCTGTAGGCATTTAACCATACACACCACTTCCTTCCTTGTCTGCAAAAGCAGGGTTGGTTTCTTATAAGCTTTGTTGAATTCCACTTACAGAGGTCCAGCCCTTCTAGAGGAATACCCCACACTGCTGTCACTGGACTAAGCTATAAGGGGCAAGTGTCTATATGAGGAGGCACACGGCTTAGTTGGGGTCCCCACTTCGTTGGGCTCCAGGCAACGTTGCCCAGAGATCCTCTGCACCCACAGGCAAAGGCCTGTTCTGCAGCCTTTGGGGGAGCGCAGCTAGCAGCTGTCTGCATCTACCTTCTCCTCTGCCAGCAGGTCACAGGACTGCTAGGTTACATGAGACAGAAGAAAAAGGAAAGCCAGAAGAAAGGACTGCACCCAAGAGAAGCCTGGAGTGTCACTGAATGACAAGAGTCACTTCACTGTAGAAGGTTTGCTCCAGAATACTCTGGGAAAATATCAAGGCAGAAATGAGAGCTCCAACTCACCTCCCACATGGGTTTGATACCCTCTTTGAAAAGATGGAAGTCACTATGGCCTGTCAGGTCCCCAGGACGTACCATGTGACTGTAAAACCTCCAGAACTGCTCCACCTGCAATGACACGAATCACACAATGAGGCTGTTCAAACTGTTCACAGCCAACATTCCTAAGGAACAGGCTTCCCTTTCTACACTGGCTGGCCAGAGCCACCTTCCCCTCTTCTGTTCTACCTTCTTGTCACAAGGGTGTTGATCAGGATACCCAGAAGGCAGCAACAGGATCAGAGCTTGGGTCCCTGTTTCTGACTGGCTCCATTACCAGACGGCCAGGTGAAACATTCAACAGCTGTCTCCAAAGTCACTTGGTGTTTGTCTGAAGAAAACTGCTGCTCTGGAGAACAGTTTCAAATATATGTAAATCCTACTGTCAAACTTTCAATCAGTGGATATCTGTCAAGTGCATCAGCTACAGCCAAGCCTCTCTACACTATACACATCAGCCCTGCATTAACCACTTCTCTCTGCAATAGAGAAGACCATAGGAGCCTCCAAATGAGACATTTTTTGTATTTAATTTTCCTGTATCCAGGTCTTAAGACAAAAGACACATTCTGGTGCTGATTTAAGATCTTACGGCACCATTCAGAACTTATAATTAAATATCTCTTGTTTCCTTTTACAGTCTGCCATGGTACACTTGGACCGCTTTGACCAGTTTCCATTCTGGCACCCCTGTGTCTACTTCACACAATCTGATCAGAGGGCAAGGAAATTGTCTTTTCTAATTCTCAAAAATAACTTTTTAATCCTTTGAGATTCTCTGGATAAGAAAGGATTTTAGAGAAGCTGGATCTTTAAAACAAAGCAAGGCACTGGAAGAAATTATACCAGTTTCCCTACTTTAAGAAGACTCTACTCACTAAGACAACAGCTATAAAGCAGACCAGCAGTGAAGCTGGGGGGGTCAGACACCATCCCAAGTATTTTATCAGAGACCTTAATGACTTGGTCAGCACTTGGAATTCTGTTCCAATCTCTGACCTCTGCCATCCATGCAGGAATTTGTTTTTATAGCCACTAAAATTATGAACCAAGACTGTGGTGGCATCAAAAGCAATCGGTTTTTGTCAAACACATCCACATGCAGTGTGGAAATTATTCTTACACCAAGTGAATATGCCCTCTAGCGGTTAGCATTTAAAAGCTTTTAGAGCTTCTTACTGAAAAGCAAAGAATAAATCTGAACCCAGATTCAGGCTCAGACATTTCTTTCTGAAGTCTGTTTTTCCTCCTCCTTAAACAGAATTTGGAACCAAACACATTATCAGATCTGCTTGCCGGTCTCCCTCCACTCTAACTGGACTCTAGCACTTCCAGCCTACAACAGCAACCACAAATTCTTTGCAGCAAAGAGCAGACAACAGAACGTGTGAAGCTTTTCCTCTAAGGAGCTAAAAATCAATGTTACGTCTACACTGGTTTAATAGACTGAAAAGTTATTGCCAGATCATCATGCAGCAGCCACATTTTTCATTCACTGAACTAAACGTACTTGCTTACACAGGGGAATAAGAGCAGTAACCACCCATGATGACTGGCTTAGATCTATTCTTCCCACTCTTACCCTATGTAGATGCAGTAACACAGCCCAGCTGCTTGGACGGGCATATTTTTGCAGCCTCCAGCAGGGATAAAGGGATGTTGTTAAAAATTGTCACATTACAGAAGATCGAGATATACTTGATGGGCAAAATTAACATTTGCAAGAGACCCTGCAAAATCTGGACATTAGGTTTGAAAAAAAGCAAAAATAAAAAAGAAAGCAGCCAACAGACTTCCCAGCCTTGTAGAATGGCATTGTATGTGGTGCCTCTATACAACAGAGACATGTTTTGCTTATGTATCTGGGGATCTTTATGACAGTTTTACACTGCCAGTACCATACAACAACACAATACTGCCTTTCCAGGATACGCTCAATTTATTCCAGGAATAAACAATCACAAATAGTGGAAATGGAAAGGGAGAGCAGTTTGCCTTTTAATGAACTTCACTGCAACACCAAACTGCACCTCAGCCATCACTTCCAGACAGACAACTGGCCACCAGCTGCTCATACAGACAGCATGCCAGATGCCTGTCCCAAACCCAGTCTTTGTGGTGGAAATACGGGCAGGGGGGAAGTGGAGGAGGGGCGGGACTGTACAGTCTTTGCTTCACACCTACAATGCATCCAGAAAAGCTGTTCCTTTCCTCTCTTGCTTACCTGTCCAGTTCTGCTCCAGCTGGCAGATATAAGCTACATGGGAGTTCTTTTCATTTTCTATTGTTATGCCAGCTACCACCATTACTGTAGGCACAGATGTCTAGCACAGGGCAGAGGAAAACCACTTCAGACATGTCACCTGCTGTAGGTAATTCAAGAACTCATACATAAGTCACGGCAAATCACTCACTCTGCTCTGTTCCTGACAACAAGAGAATAGCCTGCACGCGCATACACCTAGCACACAGGGAGTAAGCCAGCCACGGTGACCGTGCCATGCCCAAGCAGCACAAGGACAACACGGATATATACTCACGGAGGCAAAGGTGCCGATCTGTTTGATGTTCTGTTCGTAACTCTGTGAGCTGGTGGGCCTCCCGGGTGTTCGTCTGGAGTACCAGAAGGTGTAATTATACTGCAAGGGGTGCTCAGCTGGCCCTGGGACAACAGCCTGCAGAACAGAAAAGCCTGCTTACCCCTTATACGCTCCTCTAAAAGGGGAATGGGAAAAATTACAATCACCGCATCAGAAGTCCACATGTTCCTGCCCTCACAAACTATAAAACAAATAACTGATCCTCGTTTTTACAGAAAAATACTATTTCTGCTAATTGTCTGAAATGGACAATAAGGCTAACAGCAGCTGACTAATTCAAAGAATATTAGAGCTTTGCAGTGCAGGGATGGCTAAGGTAATAATAACTTAAGCTCAGGAGAGCATCACAAAAAAGCAACCCTTGTAACTATTAGAGGCAGTATGACTAAGTTTTCCTTTAGTCCTTAACTGTGCCTGTCTCAAAGGAAAAAAGACCAACTAAAAAGGGCAATGGGAGAGTTATAACTTTTTCAAATTCACAAAAAAAAGACACTCTTCTTTGCTGGAAAGAACAAAACCCATTTATACTCAACCATGATTCAAAAGCAATTATAAGTCTTTGATGACACCAACTCCCTTAAGCAACCAACACCCTAACACTCCAGCAGGATTAGTCTTAGAACTTGTTACGTCAGCTTTAGCAGAACCTATTGCTATCAGTGGACAGCAATCATTTTTAATTTCCAAAACACCCATTTCTGATTAAAAAGATTCTCACAAGCTTAAAAGAGGCTAACGAGAACTCCTTACCCAAGTCAAAACTGAAGAAAAAAACAAACGAAAAAGCCCTTATCTTGTATCACTTGATATTGTTACAGGAGTTACAAGAGCTTAAATCTCTACTCTCCTCTTGTCTATGGTAAGTTTCTAAGGATTGCATTACTTCAGACAGAATAGTTATCCTAAGCACAAGATTGAAAAAAAAAACCAAAACAGGACAGATATATGCCTTCTTAACTAGGCTACACTACACATACAGAGACCCATCTTAAGAGCTATTTCAACAGTGGCACGAACACAGCCTGTTAAACCAACTGCAAGCCACTACTCCCCTGTCAATCAGTCCTTCCCCCACATCATCTTCCAAAAAAATTTTTGGGGAAAATAAAGCTTCATTTCTTATTTCTGTTCAAAAGCCTGGCAGAGTACTAACTGTGTTTGTGAAGGGAGCATCCACCTCTCAGATTATATACCTCCAAAAACTACATCAAATTATCCAAATGCTATCATATTATCCAAATGCTTAACTCTTCTGCCTTCATTACAACAGTAACAGTGCGTTAAACAACCAGAGCCCACCAACAAGTATTTTCCTTATCCCTGAACTGGGAACTGATTCTCTAGCACTCCCACATCACGCCTTAGTAATGGAATGCACGGTACCTTCCTCTTCGTCGTACTCTGTGGTTTCTCTCGATCATTCTTTTCCTTCTCACTGTCTTTCTGTGTGTTATTCTCCTCATTCTGGTCATGGTCTCCACTATCATCATCTTTCAATCTGATAAACAGCAAAGAACGTTTTGCACAGCTGAGAAGGTTCATACCAAGCCCCAGCAGTCTCGACTTCCGAGCTCCTTCTTGGTACAAGGGCCATCAGCATTTGGAAATCTATACTTAACAGCCCACACAGTAAAAAGTACTACTGCTTTGCATGGACAAAGCCCATCGCAGGCATCTTAGGCACGCACTTTTAAGCTGAAGTGAGCAACAAAATGCCTTTTTAGAACAAACTCAAGCAGTTTGTACTAGATACTGATCTGCCACATAAAAACCCAACTACTTGTCCGGGTACCTAAAACCGAACACGAAGGCCTGCCGCTGTACCTCTGCCGACTCCCCTCC